GCACTGAGTGGTGAGATCACCGATACAAATACAGAAAACAACCGTAAATTTTATAAATTACTATTTTTTGTGGTTTAGTTTTCGATGTAATTATCCTTGAATTTATCGATATCGTTATGGACGTGTTTATCGATTTCACCATTTGCCGATATAGTTACATGTCACATCGTTATTATTTTTTCAATAAAATTATCGATATAATAATCGATAAAATTATCGAAAAATTTATCGATCTCAACATCTATCAGCAGGGACACCCAGATAGTTATCGATTTTATGATCGATATAATTACAGATATATTTATTGATATCCCGATTTTATTATCGATATCGTTATCGATACAATTATTAATGTGGCTATCGCTATTCAATCAATCATTTGTATTCCCTTGCTAAAATCAAAATCAACGATATTTCGCATCAAAAATTAGAAGATTTTAACTATAATTTTTACCCCTTTTATTTGAACTTACCTAAAAATTCTAACAATAACTGAAATTTAAATCCAGTTTTCCTTCACTTCGTTATTCTATACTTAAAAGCGCCACTCTCTAAATTGAGCGATTTCTTCGTTCGCTATATTCGCATCCCCTTTCATCCTCCACAGCCAATTTGCGTTCTCTCACATTAACCACTAGGTGGTCGGTCGCTGCGTCGATCATTTCAAGTCGTCCAAGCTGTCGAATGCCTCCTGCCGTTCGATGCGCAACATTGCAGCCAAAACACTTGAAGCCAACAAAAAGGGGCTATTGGTGTTGCGCACGCGCAGTGCTAAAGCATTGACTTGGCGACAATTTCGCTCTGCTCCGTTGAAATTCAATTTGAAATTTTTTAACACCGTCTGGCTGTTGGTACCTTTATGCTTATATAGTTATGTACGTACATTTGTATGTACATATAATAAGTGTGCTATATATGAACGCATGCGTACTCATATATATGTAGCACACTTATTATGAAATTTAATTATTTACCACTTTAGATGGTGCAAAAAACTTGGAAGTAAACTATTTTGGTTGCGCTTTTACCCTAATCAGTTGCCTAATACAGCAAGTTGCTTCTTCATGCACACGCCTTGTAAACGAATGGCCCGTTTTCGACTCTAGAGAATAGTGAATTTACTTTACTACCATCCTTCAGAATGCGCTCCTGGTCGTTGGCAAAGGTGATTTTAGTGATGATAGCGGCCTCCTTGTACGAATGGCCCTTACCACAAAACTAAAGTTTCGTCCCAAACTGCCAGGACTGGTGGGTATTTCAATGGGTATATTTCCTACGTTTCGTTCGATTTTCAAAAATGGGATGTAAATTAAATCGGTTGGGCTGTAGATATACAATAAGGCATTACTTTTTCAAAAAGAGTTGCCACCTTTTAGAAAAATTATTTAAAAAGTTAAACCTACTATCACAAAATGGTAACAACTGAAATGGTTTTGAAAAGCTTTGTTTCTTAACACATCTGTAGGAGAGTTGCCACCTGCTTAAAACATCAAATTCAATTTGAAGTAAGCGAATTATGTAATATAAAAACATATGTGTCAGCATATGGGCACCAGACGAACGGAGTTCATAAAAGTAGAAGTTTGTAAATATTTTTAAGAGGGTTTCCACCTATTTGAAAAGTCAAAGTTAGTTAACTAATAAATTATTTAATAAGCTAAATGAATTATTAAAATATAGTATATCAATCGAATAGCGTTAAACAAGTCTTTATTCAAAGCTATATTTAATGGGTTGCCACATGTTTAAAAAATCTAATTCCACTTAATTCATCAGTTAATTAAAATATGTATTAAGGGCTCATGTCAGATGAAAATTTAAATTGCATTTAAGTTTATTTGGGAATGTCATTTACATAAATCCCATTTCACTTTCGTTGGGTTTCATATCATCTTTATTTAAATATGCCAAACAATTGGCTACACTGTTGCTTGTTCTTTGAAATTGTTGTTGCATTTATTTACATTTTATACTGAAGAGCTGATTATTGTTTGGTACAAACACAGGGTTGTATTTCTCATTTTTAAATAGGCAATATTGGTCATTTAAATATAGATTAAATGCATAATCTGAAAATTAGTTGTGGAAGTTAATAAAAAATTTCTACATAAATCGGTCATCTGAAATCGGGCCTAAATGCCAGACGAAAGAGGTTTAAGACGGTTTTAGTTTGAAAATATTTTAAGGAGAGTTGCCACCTCTTTGAAAAGTCAAACTTTGTTAACTAATACACAATATATATCAAATATTAAAATATGAGTGTCAAACGAAAGAGCCGTAAGAAATCTTTTGTTTGAAAATTTACAATATTTTTGAGAGGTTTCGTCAGGGTTACTATGCGTTTAAAAAGTAAAATTCACATTATCTAATAAGTTAAATGAACTATTAAGTGATGGATATTAGTCGAAATGGGTTTCAAAAGGCTTTATTTCTGACCTTTATTGAGGAGGGTTGCCACGTGTTTGAAAATTCAAATTTAACTTAATTCATCAGTCAATTGAAATACATATAGTTACCTAAAGGTGAAAAGGTGACAAGTCCATTTTTTTTAAACTGTTCAGGTTAGACGAAAAATAGATGTGGTTTCGCATTATCTGTCATTCTGCATCAAACACTAACTAAAAAAATGGACTTGGCACCTTTTCACTTTTAGGTCGCGATATGTATCACAATGTTAGACGAAGGAGATTTGAGAAGATTTTAGTTTGAAAATACTTTTGAAAAGGATTTCCACTTGTTTGAAAAGTCGAATTCATTTAGCTTATATATACGTTTTATGAAATATCAAAATATGAGAGTCAATCGAAAGAAGTTTATGAAGGCTTTAGATTGAAAATATCTGGCCACCTTGCCGAAAAGTCATATCGATACAAAATGCGTGGTCAAATTAAAGGCCTTGACCTGTAGATCCTTCCTTCGCTGTGCGCTTCTAGTGCCATTTAGACCCAGATAGATAAATCTCTTTTGCATGCAAACAACTGGCGAATTCAACACGGCGATGTCCTAGGAAGTGTCAATTGCCCCCCGCTGCATCCCTGTTTCTATAGTTCCGAGCTAGTCTTAAATTCTACGGTTCCGAACCAAAGAAAAAGTATCATGATTTTTCAATCTTTTTGGTTCTTCCGTGTGTACGATTTTAAATTATTTTCAAAGAAATGTGTTTTCAATTTGAAATTAAATTTGTTTGAATGATTATAAGAAATGTACGTTTAGATATGTACCTTTGACTATAGCTGAGTTTACAGAGGTGCTTGTTGTTATTGGTTAGATTCCAGACGATCCCAAGATGTTAAAATATTAACACAAATTTTTGTTTTGTATTACCAAGCTATGAAAAAGCATCTGCGAAGTGCAGAATGGAAGCGTATTTGAACGAAAAAGCCGCCAACGCATATCTATGTAAAGTAAACAAGCCCCCGCTGCATCCCTTTTTCGATAGTTCCGAACTAGCTCTAAACTCGTCACCTTATATATGGAATTTTAATGGAAAAAGTGAAATAAAATAGTTTTTTGAGACTACCACATTTCGCTGATCTTGGACTGGTGGGGATCTAATTACTATCGGACTGGTTTGTTTTTGGCGATAAAGATCTACTACGGAACTAGAAATTTGATTCACTAGTCCGCGGTTTCCCTGCAGGATTGCTCATAAACCCGAAATAAGGATTCAGGGCTACTTGTTATCACCTCACATCTTCCAGCAATGTTGGTTCTCGTTGTTAATGCAGATATACATCAATGGAAGCCTGACAGATATTTCGAGATCTTCAATAAATAACCCTTTATTTCCAGAAGCAAACCCATTACTTTTCAAATTCTTGCCGCAAAGGCAAAACTTCTAGCAGTTATTGTGCAATGTAAAATTTTGCAACACTTCACAAAATTCGGAAGTATTACCTGTTTTCATTCTCTCTCTCTCGCTACTCATGCACGTTCTACGTTTGCTAGCGTCTACATTGCAAGTTCCCACGATTATCATATCCAAAGCGAAAGATAAAACAGAACAAAAAATATTAAATTTACATAATAACAAGTAGCCGAAATTTATTTATGCAAGCAAACTTATTAAAAAAAAGTAAAAAAAAAGTGCTACTACTGCATATAAAACCACAAGCTGATGTGGGTACATGAGTACGCAAATGAAATTTACTGACTTCAGCGTTCCAGGAAGGCGTTGAAGTTTTGCCTTCGTTATCTACAAAAAAAAAAAAAACCAAGAAAATTAAAAATAATAATTAAAAAATGCATGCCCACTCGCACCGAAACGAGGTGCAAAAAAGCAAAAACCAAAGTAAATATATAAATTAAATACAATAAACAAATGGGCATACAAATGCAGGCGTTTCGAAAAAGTAAGCAAAATGAGTTGGCGCTAGCATGCAGTAGTCGCCGTCGCATTTGTGCATAAAAAAATAAGCACGCTATTTAAATAAATTAAAGCGACAAAGATGTATAAACAAATGTGACTTGGCGCTGATTGTAAATGCATACATACATACATCCATATGTAACATTCACAGGAGTTTTGCCGGCTGTCGCCGCAAGTAATAAAACCGGTGGCAAAATTTTCAATTTTTTTTGCTGTGTTATTTTGTTTATTGCACGCAAACTACTATAAATGAAATTTTAAAGTTTATGCAAGCATTTGTTTAATTTGTGTTTTTTTTTTTTATAGCGCAATTTATTTATTATAATTTTTTTACACAAATATTTTGGTACAGAGACAAAAGCCGATGGGAATGCAACGATACCGGCTGATACTCGATTTTGTTTAACAAAATGCAATTTGTCGATGCAGCGCAAATAAAATAAATATGAAATATATAAATAAATCATGGAAGTAAAGTCGATTTAGTGTGAGTGAGGCAATAAATAATTTCAATATTTTTTTTTATTAGTATTAAGTATGGGACATGTGATTTATTCGCAAAAGTTCCTATTATATTCGATGCAAAGGTATGGAAATTAATTTTAATGTTCTAACATTTTTTCTATTCCAGGTTAAACGTCCCAAAACAGAGCACACGGATACAAATGAACGAAATCGGTAAGTAGCTTGCTGTAAATAAATATGAGTGTTGGGAAATATTGAGTACTTTTTGAGAATCGAGTTCTTTGGCATCGATACTTTTGAAGGATCGGGTATTTTTTTAGTGTACTGAGTACTTTATATAAATATGCACATTTTGGTAACATTTCAATGCTTAGTGTAGCCTTTTATTCAATTTAATAAATTAATCCCAAAATACATGAAATAAATGTCTAACTGGATCGGGTGCAAGTATTATACTTGAAAATTATTGAAACATGAAAATGGGCAAAATCATCATTGAATGCCGGTAAATATAAAAAGCACTCAGTATTTTTTAGTTTATATTCGACACTCAATACTAATTACTTTGAATCTATCCTGTTTCTTTCGTGTTCTTTTAAGCTCTGAGTACTTTCGAGTTCTCTTGTGAGTACTGAGCACATAAGAGTATTCAGTATGGCTACTTTCAAAAACCGGGTATTGCCGATACTTTTGAGAATCGAGTTCTGAGTACTTTTGGTAGCGATAGTGTTGAGCACTAGTAAATATTGAATAGAGAGTGTGCGGGCATGGTTGCCACTCAGTGTTGACGTTTTGGCTACTGTTATTTAAAACATATACTATAAAAATGAATAATAACTGTTATTTGCAGATTATTTATATAACAATCAAAAATAATTGTTATTTTTTTCTTATTCTGCATAAAAATTGCAAATAAAAATTTATTTTTAAATTTGATTCTCGGTGAAAAAAAAAAATCGATTGGTATGTATCACTTAGTCGTAGAACATTTCCTTCATAGTGAATTTTTCAATGACACTTTTCATCAATAACTGTTATGTTCGACCCCTGCTCTCTGTACATTTTATATGGATACTTGGTTGTCCTCAATACTAACAATTTTTTACTGCGAAACAATTGAAAATTTTAAATTTTAAAGGCTATCTTGGCCACGTCCTTACAGCATTGTCTACTACAAAAGTATATAAATACAATGAACTTAAGGCAATATTATGTACTTATGCATGTATTTAAGTCTATAGAGAATTATAAGGTACTTCAAAATCATGTAAAGGCGAGCGACAAATGACCAATAAATTTGATTTTTTGGGCAGCTACAAATTTTACGCGTATACTTTTACAACAAAAAAAAAAAAACTCTACTCACATTCATACATTCTTAAAAGGTATTATGATTCTTCGATTGCTACAAAAAAGTGTACAAATATGCATTAAAATTTTTAAAGAAATAGCCTCTCTTTTCATATTTTGCATATACAAATCGATGTACATAAATATTTCTATTTCTATCGAAAGAACATGTGTAAGAATTTCAAAGAATTTCATGCCACAAATCTTTCAAACCTCTTTTGATTTGTTACGAGCACTTGTTTCTTGCTTTGCGCTTAAGCGGTTTAAGTAAAATCGAAAAAAGGATACCAAATAAAATGTGTAGAAAAGTGTCACACATAAGCGGTTTTCACACTTTGCATGCCGTACGATACACATTTTTTTGAAAATGTATGTATGTATGTACGTCGTATGTACGCATTCACTATAATAAAAAAGGGCGAAGTAGAAGAAAAAATAATTTTGAGCATTTGAAATCGCTTTGCACTTAACGCCTGCGCATGCGCATAAGTGTATTATTTTTGTGTGTTCACTGTATTTTTGGAAATGCTACAAAGGTCTGCTAGTAATGGTGTTCAAAAATGCAGGATGCGCCCACTACTTAAGAGATTAGGACACTCTGAGTGTTCACAACAAAAGTACACATGTGATGTCCCATTTATGTGCTATTAATTCAGAATAATACAAATTTTACATACAAAAACTTCTTTCAACCTCATGACGACCAAGCGATCTCGATGACCTAAAGAGTTTATCTGCTCACAAGAAAATTGTTTGAACCTCTAGAGATTAAAATTTAGGTTCTTTTTCAGAGGCTCCTTCCATTAGAAACAAAAAGGTCTTGAATTGAAGAGACATCTTGGTAGTTTCTAATATAAATATTATTCAAAGAAAATATTATCAGCACATATATTTTGGAGCTTGAAGGAATAGGTTAGGTTAGAAGGGCGTGTTTGAAATATTCCATACTTTCACTCGGTTACAAAATTTTCCATTGTGTGTGCTCTCTTTAAGCGAGTGTCAGGGGGGCATACGTACCCATAATCGAAAGAGTAGCTTCTGCTCATTATTCTACTGAACCGATTACTATCCCTAATAAGGCCGAGGAGATACACAGTGTCCTGTGATGACGCCGGTAAGGACTCTTACTGCAGATCTATTGAGCTTGAGTATGTCCCTTGTATTTTTCCTACTAAGCCGCGGCCATGATATTTTTGTGATCCCTGAAAGGATTTTTCAATATGACCTTCTTTTTGGAAGCTTTATTAGAAGATCTTCCAACAGCGCTGCCGTTCGAAGGCAAACGAGAAGGTGGTTTTCCATGGCAGCGAAAGTCAAATAAGTATCTTTTAATAGCCATGCCTTTTGAAGGCAGGCGTGAAGATCTGGGTGACAGGTAATAAGATCAACGGAAATAAGGTCAATTGACTTTATTTCCCACCCTGGTGCGAAATAAAGTCAATTGATATTATTACCTTTTTAAAAACGAAATAAAATCAATTGACATTATTTCTCTTTCAAAATTAAATTTGCTTAGCTTCGCGGCGGCCCGCGTCAGCGCGCCACACCGCGCGCGTCGCGCTCGCGCTCGGGCCCCGCGTACCCCGCGCGACCGGCGCGCACACCACGTCACGCTACGCCGCGTCCCCCCTTCCCCGTCTCCCCACGTGCTGTAACGCAGGTAGATTTATTTTTTGTATACGTTGAAATAAAATTTTTATATATTTTAAACATCGAGGGCTTATATTCAATAATACCCCCTATATGCACACTTTTCACAAAGATGAGATTCTGATATAAAAATCCACCTAAGCTTTAACTGTCATCAGTTATATTAATGTTACCTTATATAACGACAGGTAATAAGTCCCAAATGGTTTCTAAAATCACAAATTAGTTTTTGTGCAAATTGCAGATAGAGGGTATTAATGAATTCAAGCCCTCGATATTTCACATTTTTATATTTGTAAGTTATTGGAAGCAGGGATGCCAACTTGGCTCAAACCGTGCCATTTGTTCCTATTTTACTTCAAATGGCACTTAATTTTTCAATTTGGCACAAAATGCCAAAATGGCACTTTTGTAAAAAAAATAACATTTCAATACATTTTTGTGAAATCCTTTGCGTGTACTTCTTTTTCTCAACTAAAATTTTCTAATTTTTAAAGGCTTTTCAACTGGTTTATCTTATTTTATCATTGCACTTTTGTTTTGAAAATGTGGCTTTATTTTATTGCTAAATGTGAATGATTAAAAGGAATTACACCTTTTTTTATCACTTTTATTTTTCTATTTGGCACATTTTGGCACTTTTTTATCCTCAATATGGCACCTCATAACTAAGGAGAGTTGGCAGCCCTGATTGGAAGATTTCTGCTGTGTTTTGAGGCAACAACTTGTCTGCAGTAAAAAAGCATATAATTTGTGTTTCAAAAGTGTGTGAAAACCAATCAATTAACTTATATGATCTCGGTTCCGATATTAAATAATCAATAATTGTTTATACCCGCATTTTGGCACATTGGCTCGCTGAATGTGCCATCTAATAAATAGTGTCGTCGTTCTCCTTAGCTGCTTTTAAATGACTGCTGGCGGAGACATAAATACAGTGTAAGAAAATTCTTTTTCTGTAATTGTTTCCTTATAGAAAGGTTGGGTTCTTTTCCACCTTAGACATTCCGAATTCGTTCAAAATATGCTAATTTAAAACACAGAATTCTTTCAGTGCTGCTCCGGGGTTTTTGGACATGTACTGTTTCTTCAATTTAATAGTGTTCGCTTTATTTTTGTAGAAACGAAAAATCTTTTGCAAGTTATGGATCATTTCTCCACTCTTTCTTCAAATATTTCTCGTATTCCAGCTGTGCGCAGGCGTTTAGTTTTTCGCATCGTGTTTTTACATATTCGTAATTTAAATTTTTTTTAATATAATCAATTGGTGGTAGTTCATGATTGTGTGTGGATTAATATCACAACACTGAGGATTTGGCAAAAGCCTTTTTCATCTATTAAAAAACAACACTTACGGGGCAATGTTTATTGTAAGAACAACATTTTTTTCTTTGAATCGACATACTTTAAGCATTGTTGACGCTATTTCCATTTGAATGAGGAAATAGCGTCAATGACTTTATTTCCAAATTTTTGTTGACTTTATTTCGCACCCTGGTGCGAAATAAAGTCAATTGACCTTATTTCCATTGACCTTATTACCTGTCACCGAAGATCTGTTTACAAGGCAACCAAAGTAAAATCGGTGTGTGTCTACTGCAAAGTTAAATTCAAACTGTTTCATTATTATTTCATGTAAATTTTGCCTTCTAACCGAAGCTGAAACAGAAGGCCTGGAACTCCGGCCATACAAAATGAAAAGGAGTAAAGAATCGAGCACGGTAGGCCTGTCGCTTCAAAATATCCGAAATAAGAGCTCGAAGAAGGTCTCTTATTTTGTGATTTTGCCGAATGGGATGTAATTTGTGCTGGCTTTTATGTCAGCTTTTTATTCCATTGAGCCGGCCGCTTTTTAATTCACTCAGTATTGCTGCATTCCCGAAATTGGTTGCCTTACACGCATCCTTCGCCTCTCTGAGACTGGACGCACTCTTTGCGGCCGTACCATCGGTGAAAATATGCACCGGTTGAAAGTGAAATATCATGCTAAGCCCCTTCTGAGGTGCATTACTCACTGCCCCCGACATGCCACATGTACTTTTTCTATTATTTTCCTGTTATTCCCCTTGTCTAGAGCCAATGGGTTGCAATTGGTCTGATGACTGTGATGTACATCTCATAGGTGACATAGTCCCCATTGCTTTCAGAAGCGCGTGTTACACGTGGAATATGCTAATAGAAATTCCTTGGCTCTCCCCTCTAGGTTCTTTTTC